AGGCATGAAGGTCTAGTCAGAGACATATTAGAGGCAGAAACAGGAGTTAGGAGGGGTAGAGGTAGACCTAGATTAGATTACTCTTCGCAAATAGTTAAGGATGTGGGCTGTTCTAGTTTTAGGGAAATGCGAAGATTTGCTCAGGATAGGAAAGAGTGGAGGTACGTGTCCAACCAGTCTTAGGACTGATGACCTTATGATGATGATGATGATGATGATGATAGAAGTGAAATAAATAGCACAGTGAATAGTGATATAGTCAATAGTAGTGTAGTTATAGCATAATTGATAACCTAAGTTTAGTAATAATTTAATAGTGTTTTTAAGTTCTTTATTAATTAGTGTAAATAAATAGTTTTTGTCGTTATCAGTCTTAGAAATTAATTTTGTTAAACCCACGAACATTACAGCACAATAAGATTTCCTAAGGAGAACGTCGTATGTTTAACCGTTTTTGCACAATTGTAATTGCTTATTAAAAAGTCAATTTTGAAGATTATTTTGTTGCCCCGGGAGCCGTCCGACAGAGCCCAACGAGGGCTCATTTTGTTCGTAAAGAGTCGTAGGTACATGAAATTTTCTATTTGCAGAGCATCTTTTTTTTACAGTGGATGAAATGTAAAATGAGCTGCAAAAAGTACGCTTAATTTCAAATTAAATATTGTCAATAATATAGGTGCACCGTAACCAAACTTTTCTAAATTTAAAAAAAGAAAGGAAGGTTTACGACCCCTACAAGCTGAGATAGTTTTGCTTTGTTTTAATTCTCATGACTTTCTTAGTTAACACACACAGTTAAGATTTGGACATGCTACACTTTGATACTTATAACTATATTTTAAGGAAAAAATATTTGATAATCTTTAACTGCAGCTTTTTATCGCAAAACCGGTGCAAACATCCGAGTTTCTCCTACGGTCCGTCACAGCGGCGGAGAATTGGGGAAACCCCCGGCTCAGTACCTGCTTGTGTGTGACTAGTTCGGAATCCGATCTCGGGCGTACAAAAAATCATTAATAACTCCCAACTTCCACGGGTCGTAGAACGACGTCTGTTTTTCAAACTACTGGGGTAGCTCGCGAAGATATTGTATTCCGTGGTATTTTTTTTTTGTTCTGAGGGTATCTACAGCCATTAGAGAGCCTATTGTAATTGAAGATTTTCAAAAATTGATATTTTGCAAATGAAAGATCTCAAGTACGACTTTTTGCGAATGGATTCTGGCGGACGGTTCCTGGGGCAATAAAAGAATTTTCAAAAAAATACCTTTTTAATAAACAGTTGCAATTCTGCGACATACAACGTCCACCTTAGGGATCTTGTTGGGCCATATAAGAGTTACAATTTCGGTTCATTTCTAGACGTTCTGGACTGATTGTTTATTAATTATAATCAAATTTAGAAAAACACCATTTTAAGTAAATCCAACAGGAAAGAAACTACGATCAAAAAGCTACTTTTCCCTGTCGTAATTGGGCCACCTTAAATTTTCCAAATAAATTCTGCTGTCCGAAGCAATTTACATATTATTTATACTGACTAGTCAAGGCTTCTAAATCAATTGATAAACTGACTTCTGGATTTTTTTTTATACAGGGGTTTTGACGTTTTTTTTTTACTCGTCTATAAGAGATGTAGAGGTATCACTACAGCCTAAAGCATTGGTGGCGAACCTTTTTTGTACGCGTGCCAGAAAACTAGCAATATAAATTATCGTGCTCCTAACGTGCCTGACAGCTTTTAATTGGGGAAAATTGATAAAAATGTAGTTGTCTCAAAATTTTTATTTAACAATTTAAAAAATTAATACACAAAAACTAAATTAAAAGTAAAATTCTTGGACGTGCCCCCTCTGGCTCGCGTGGCAAAGGTTCGCCACCAGGCCTAAAGCCTTCTCCCTAGCACACATTAGAATTGTAATTGTCAGTATCAATATGAGGTTTGTTGTAAGAGTTAAATAACAAATCTGTGCACAAAATTCCAATATGATATAATATAAGTATAGAATATACTATTCACATTACGTATTATAACCACTTTAATTTCTTTATTATCAGAATCTTTATCCAATTTTGGAGCTTCAGCCATTATTTCCTCGATATCCCCTATTTTCAGGAAAGCTAAAGCAGTGTACCTACGCACCAATCGACAAACTTCGTCATCTTCACCTAACTCACCTATTTCTTATTAACATCAGTAGAGTCCTCTGTTCTCCTGTTCTTTTTAATACCTCTTCATTTATAACCTTCTCTATCCATGGTATCCTCCTCATTCGCCTGTAACATCACCTTTCGAACAATTTTTTTCGAATTTCTAAATTAACCGTTCGCGATCATGGAAGTGACTTCTTTTTATTAAAGGCGACTCAACCCTGCGCTATCCTCTGTTTTATATCCCTACTACTTACTCCTTCCATCCTGACTTCCTAGATACCTAAAATCAACCACTTCTAATTTTTCATCTTCTATCTTTATATTCGCTCTTTCCCTACTTTTTCTTCCCTTATTCTATTTTTGTTTTAATTTTATTTATTTTCATACAGTACGGTTTTGTCAATATCGCTTCCATTTTATTTAAAGCTATCTCGAACTCCTCCTTGCTAGAAGTTAATATTGCTATATCATCTGCAAATTCAAACATACTAATCTTTTGCCTCTGTATATCTATTCTCACAGTTGTCCTGTCTTTAATGATGTTGATCGCGTCCTTGATGTATAAATTAAAAAGTGGCGGTGACCGAAGGAAATAAATCCTCCAAAGCCAAAATTGTTGCTTGCTGAAAATTAGTGCTCACTTTGCTGGGACTCCATTCAGATACTCTGTCTTTAATATGTATACAAAAAATAACTATTTCGCATAGTTGAATGCTCTAGAAGACACACTAAAATCAGAATATGCTCGATCAAATCCTGTAACTCTATGAAGGAAGGATGAAGCAGATCAGAGCACTCCACTCTCATACTGCTCATGTATTTATTTTCGTTTTATTAAAGGATCTGATAGTAAAAATTCGCATTCCCAAACTGTAACTCCAGTTAGTTCAAATTAAACATCAAGTATTGATTTTTTATGAAAAAAAAATACATTTATCTATTTTGTTCAATTAAACCAAGTTTTTCTATTTTGAAAGCTGCTTAATTTTTAGTAAGGGAAGGTAATAATTAATTTTTAAAACAAGGGATGACTGCATCTATTGTATGTAGAATAGTGGATATTATTAAAAGCAAATATTTGTGAAATATTCCGTCTATTGCATAAATTACTACAAAGTGCAATACATTTAAATATATATGTTGCTGTGCATAGTGGTATAAGGAATTATTTTAAAACGACGGTAATAGTGTAGATATAACTTGTGTGACATTCTCTTTACTAATTGGACATTTTGCGTAAAGAGAAGCGCATTTCTCAGTATCACTCTGTTTCCCCATATCTATTGCTTGTTTCACTGCACTTCCATCTAACATAAACGTGAAAATTGGATTGCTAAAAAATATAAGTAATAATGTATAAACAATTTAAATTTTTGTATAGAAGACCATGGTGTTTTAATAATTATTGAGATAAAACTATTCAATTCGGATAAATGTAACTCTAGCAGCTATTTACTTATACGTTTTAAAGCAATAATTTAATAATACCAGGCGAAAAGAAATTTAAAACGATCCTTCATTTATGACCATGGTGCCCAAAAGGTTAACTTAGCAGCATTAATGCTTCAAAAATTTGAAAGGGTCCAAACAACTCCAAACAACTCATAAACTTTAATTTTACGAATGGCTCTGAGATTCTCAGAAGGTATTCCACTACTTGTTATGGGGGAATATACCGAGCTGAAGAATTTAGCAGAGGGGAAGTCTTTATAAGTAAGTAACGCAAGAAAGTTATGTGTGTGAAAAAGCCTGAAATACTAAGTTTTTAACATTGATAAAAAACTTGTGAAGTGAGTCGTCCAAGAAAGCATCATCAATTAAAGTTTTATTTTTCTTTATTTATTTTCTAAATTTCTCTTGTTCATTGTCAGAATGTTGAAGATTTAATAATGCTATGCAGGCTTATTGAAATGTAGGAGTTCACTGAATAAATAAATTAAAAGGTATCATTATTACAGAATTATTACGTATTACTCACTTCGATAGAGCGTTTATGAACTCATCCATTGGGCTGCCTTCACCCAATTTCATATTCTTTTGCGCTTCATGCACATATGTGCAAATAACTCGTTGCATACACGAGCTGCTGTCTATGTTGTGCTCGTCCAATGTATTATCTAGCTTTGCCAAGATAGATGAAATGGATGATTCGTCGTCATCTAAACCTAAACGTTGAACACATGTATAATGAAGGAATAATGAATTTTCAAGTATTTCATTGTCAATGAGAGCATCAGTCCAATTATTTAATCCATTTTAAATGATTTGTCGTGACTACAAAATAAACCGCAAATATATCCGTTTGTAGGAAGAATTATACAGCCTGGTTAATTAATGCGTTCAAGTACAATAACTGTTATTGTAAAGAGTCGAAAAGTTTAAAACAAAAATTGCATAATACAAACTAAAGTTACTTCTATGTGTACACAGGGTGTTTTATAAGTTTGTCACGAACCAAAGTTACCATTTTTTAGATGACATTCTATGTGTACGTGCATTGTTTCATTTTGGATTGCTCTTTCTTGACTATTCATCCCCCTGGAAGGTTATTAGGGTCTACACAAGTGATTCAAGATTTATAGTTATTACTATGAAAAATCAGAGTTCATTTGTTATCCTGTACTTATCTTTGTATTACGTCAGCTATTATTATTTGATTATAGAAATCTGTTCTAGTTTACATTTAGTTAACATATTTTTGAATATTTTATAATAATAGTTACTTATAGAGGCCGAATCAAAACTTTTGAGTTACATTTTTTTCCTATAAAGTCAAATGGGGCACCCCATATAATAAAGCCNTTAAATATTGAATTATTTTTTTGCGTATATTACAAAATATATTCATCTTAAATGAAGGATTTTGATTTTTTAACCAAAATTTTCATTTTATTTAATGTTCTCACAATTTTTAATAAAAATACACGGATATTTGAACGTACCTACCGCATACAAAAACATAAGATTCAAAGTAGTTCCTAGGCGACATCGGTTATGAAACTTAAAAAGTTAAGACGTGCCTCGCTCACCGCCCTTTAAGTTTGGTTGCTTACTCGCCCATCAACTTTCATCTTAATATTACATAAAGTTGAATGTACAGGTAAATTCATTTCCGGTCCTGGTAAAGAAATACGCTCCGCAACGCTGCACTCAATATTTTATTTGTTTTGTTATATTATTTGTTTTGTATTTTTTTAATAGACAACCTCTAATACTCGTTTATTATTTTAACGTTTAATCATTGTATGAAGCAATCGATATGTAGTTCAATAAACTAATTCAGAAATACAACATCAATCATTAGTGTATATCAGTCATTGTAGCACAGTTATTGTTACAGTAATATAATAATAACCGCCGCTATAGGGATGAAATCCTCGATTTCAAAGACGATACCCAAAATAGTATATACCAAATAGTAAATCTTTTCTCATGTTAGAGGGGCAAAGTTTAAAGGAACAGTTGCTGCCTCCTTGTCATTTGCAGCGAGTGCAAGCCTTGCTTGACAATGATTTTCAGCCGCGATTGGTTTTGTGTGGATGGTTTCGAAAGAAAGAACTGTTTTGGGTAAATGTGTGGTGTGAAATTTTTGGACTTAGGTATTTGAATTTTTTGGTAAGTTTACTTACAACCACCGGCAAAAAGAACGCGCGTTGGCAATACGTCAACTACTTATTTAATTTATTTAATGTTAACAGTGTCTGCAGTATTAAATTGTTTATTTTTAACCTAAACGTTTGACAATCGAAAATGTTTATATTGCGGTACACTATTCGAAAACACCTACATTATCAGTTCATTCCCAGGATCAGCTTCAGATTGCAAATTATTGTGATTGGCTTAAAATTTCTTTTTCTTTAACCACGCTGCTGAACCCACAACACGATTGTTTACTACGGCTAATTTACACCCCCCAAACTATGTGTCGTACTTCTGTTACACCCTATACTTCCTTATGTATTTATATTTTATTTCATTTAAAATAAAAAATTTGTATTAACATTGGAATTATATCATTTAAAATTTTATTTAAATACTTTCTTTTGGTATTTTACCGAAATATGCATTTAACTTTTGTCAACTATCTGTTTCTGTTCGTAAATGTATAACTAAATAAGAACATTAGAATAAATAATTAAAAGTTTGGATTCGAAATTTGGAATTATAAAAGTAATGCTTTGTACGTAGTGCTTGTATAAATAACAAAGTTTTTTCAAAACTAATCTTTTTAATTATATTTTGTGTATTCTTTTTAAAGAACCGTCCATGAACTGTATCTTTTTATTTCGAAATTCTGATTTGTTCATTATTCATTGAATATTATTTTAAAAGTGCACCTACCTGTCATCAGACGTGTATTTCTTAGGATTACCCCTTACGGTAGCGCAACTGAAAATAAACACCAAGATGTGCAGGTTTTTCATTTTGTTGTAACTCTTAAACTTACACTGTAGTAAAAAAACAAAGAATATTTTCCTTTATATAAATATTTGTCACACATTCTGAGCAAAAGACAATACAGTTGAAATACGGACGAATCTATTGTTCTGAAATAACATATTTACACAATACGGAAATTTCACTTTCTTTTTAAGAACTTATGCACCAACGTTTGTATTTCTTTATTTTATTATTTTAAAATAAACGGAAAATAATTGTAATGTATACAATATGCGTGTCTTTATAAGTATGCAGGTAATTTTATGAATTTCGTAACGAAATAAAAAGAAATTTGCACTTGAGAACACTAACGAAGCTTCCAGAACTTTTAATTATTTAAGCAACTATTAACAATTGCCATTATCCTACGTAAACTTAACTGTAAAAAGCAAATTAAATTGTTTCCTTTGTTACTTATTTTGTTTAGTTAAGTTGCTCTTTAATTTTTTATGAAAAATTTTCACTTTTTAATTGCAGTACTGTAAATGCTACTTTTAGCAACAGCAATTTTAATTCCGCAATGCCAGTAGTTAATGATTAGTTTTTGTCAGATAGCAAAGAAAACACGATGATTTGGGTTTCAGATAGAACTTTAGCAATTACGCTATTGTCACTTCGTGATTATACGTTTTGCCACAAATGTAGTCCAAATTGCAACATACGGAAGTTTGAGAAACATTATTTTAATAATGAACATTTAATAAAAAAGGAAGGAAACGAAACTGAGTTAGCTGTTAGGTGCAACTAATTTGTAATTATATGCATTATTTATTCTAGTTTAAATAGATAAATAATATAATCGTTAATGCCATTTGATACAGCAAGAAATCACTACATAGTAGTATAACTAAAGTCGCTTCCCGCTGTCTGTCCTTATGTATGCTTAGATCTTTAAAACTAAGCAACGGATTTTGATGCGGTTTTTTAAATAGATAGAATGACTCAAGAGGAAGGTTTATATGTATAATACATGCATAATATAGTAGAGAAACACTAATAATTTTAGAGGTTTCTAATGTGATATCGTAAATAAACACATTTTTTGCGCTTATATTGCAAACGCTGGCTGAACCCTACGAGATAGATCAAAATAATGTACTATAGTATAGTACATCTTAAACAGGTCTACAAAAAAGTCCGGGAAGGTATGTCTATCTCTTAGTGATAAGCCACAATAACCATTTTTTATTCTTTCCTTTTTATTATAAATAATGGCTTACTTACGAAGCGATTTTAAGCAATACAGCATTAATTCTCATCCAATTAAGTACCTTAAATACATTGTGCATTTAATATAGAACAATATAGCCTTTACAGCATGTAATTTAAATGAATATTTTCGAAGATATTACAGATTTAAAATGCAAGGACACAGCGGTTGTAGCGGTTCCGGCCGGGAGGCCTGTTTGTATTGTCTAATGATAAAAAAGCGGTGAATGTTGTATACAAAGATATTATGTAGCATATTTAGTATGTTCAGGGGGTGTCTTTTTGAAGATTTCCCCTCCCCGAGAATAATCTAAACAAAAAAATATATTTAGTATTAGCATTGCACCCGTGCGAAGCTGGGGTGGGTCACAAGTAAGTAATATAAAATACATTATTAGACTAGCAGGTGTTCGATTTGAGTTTTTGCTACGCTTCCTCACTTGAATCCTCAATTAATTGAGTAAGCAATTGGTCCGATGAGCTAATTTTCTAATCCGAATTGCATCAAACAGTACGTGGCATTAAGACGCTGCCCAAGTCATAGAGATAAAGGGGGGGCTCATACAAAAAAATACATCAATTTGATTCTGAAAGCTTCTGTAATGCGCTGCATCTTAAATCTTACAGAGTAGCAATTAATTAATAATAATTCTTCTAAAACAACAACTAAAGTCTACTACCAGAATACACATAACCTCAAAAATAAAATTATAGATTTCAAAGAGAAGTATGCCTGAATCAATACGACCTTGTGGTTTTAACGGAAACACGGCTAGATTAATTAACTGTGGACTCCGATTTAGAAATGGCCTCAAATTATTAAGACTAGACAGACATTTCATAAAAAGTAAGAAAAGTAGATGCGGTGGATAACTAATATATTCTCAAATTCAAAACCTGCTTAATAAACTTCGTTGTAACGACGCATACTTTGAATAATTTAATTCTAATTCTTGTATTTACCACCTAACTTCATACAATGCCTGTTTGACTCTATAAACGAGATTAACAATCTTAGTGAGAAATTGGAAGAAATTTACCAAAAATAGGCACTTTAATCATAAAATGTCTGGATCCTATCTAATTACTGTTCGTTTCAAGAAGTTGGAGATATGCCCCTTGCCTTTATTAGGATGCGCCGTAGCATAATTCCAAATTCAATCATATTTGTCTGCGGAGCTCATTTCTCCACCGATCATCGAGCGAGAACTAGACAA